TCCAAAAATGTTACAATAGCAGTCGTTTCACTCCGACTACACAGTCTGACGGAGCAGAGAGTGTGGCGTTGACAGAACACTTTAATCTCATGTCGTCTGTGGCAGACACAGCTCTGTGCTGCGGCCGGGTTGATCAAAATCAGTTAGAGACGATAACGGCTCGAGACGCAAAGCTTTTCCTTTTAACTTGAGAGCCCAGCGTCTGTTTATGAGCTAACAGTTTTTATGAGGCAACGCTGGGCCATAAAGTAAATGCACAAACAACATTAGTCCTGTTATGGTGCAGCTGTCGTCCCCCCTTTTTCTCCCCCTGACATCAGATAATGTTTTCATTATTCTGCCTCTGACGCTGGAAGCTCAAGCTGGTCTGTGATCCATTCATCATTCCAGGATGCTGCGGAAAAAGACAAGATAGAGGGCAGCGGGGAGGATGAGGAGAAGGAGGAGGAGGAGGAGGAGGAGGAGAGCACTTGAGTCGTGTGAAGCTCTGCACAAACAGAAATCGAAGGGTTTGCTCTCAGCTGGAGGGAGAAGTTGGCAGCAGTGTGTCAACCTGCCCTAGATTTCTATGAGATAAACACTAAAAAACAAACAAACACACACACACACACACACACACACACACACACACTCTCTCGACGTCCACATCTCAGCACCTCCAGGAAAGCCATTCCTGACTCACTTCCCTTTTCCCATTACGGTGGTAATGTGGAGTTTAATGAGCTCTGCAGAGATGAGCATTCGTCTTCACAGATACAGAACGCCCCACGGTTCGACTCCATCAAGTGAATAATGTGTGTTCCTCAGTCTCTTTATTGTCAGAGTCTAAATCTGTGCTGAGAGGACGTGGAACGCTGGGCAACTTCTCCCCTGCTGTTCTGCCGTTGTGTGAAAATGTATTCTAGATTCTAATGACTGATTTAAATCTCAACTTCAAACTATATCATGAAAATGTAAAATGTCATCTCCCTTTGTGAGAATCTTAAAAATGTCCCCTGACAATAGTTTTCACACAAAATGTCCTCACAAGTATATCTATACCAGGATCCCACACACACCTGTATTTAGTAACATATTAACTTATTTAAATCCTCATTGGAATTACATTCCTCCATGCAACACTAGGGGCAGGGCAAGTACCCTTAGGATTGAGAAAACCATGTTTTGAGAACCATTGATCTATGGCTAGGTTTTTTTTTTTGGCGTGGATCCAAAGATGAATAAAACATTTAGATATTTCTCCAAAATATTTGAACTTCAAATATTTGTATTATTTGATGAATATTTAGATTAAATTAACATCTGTTTCTTATTTTGTGTTGTTGAGTGGTTTTGATTTCTCCTCCACTTCCTGTTTTGGCCACGCCTTATTTGATGTCACTTTCCCTTTGATGCATTTCACCTGCCTCTGTGTTCACCTGAACATCAGTCCCTCAGGGACTGTGTTTCTTCTGTTTCATCTTTTTTTTTTTCTGACGTCAGTTCACATGTTCCAGCCTGTCATGTCAGCACTGTGTGGAGTTGGTTTCCTGTAAGTATTCCTGCATTTTCCAGTATTCTAAGTCTACACTTAAAAACCAAACAAACCAGAATCGTTGTAACCAAATCAATCCATGGTTCACTGAAACGCCAGGTCAACACAAACCAGATTTCAATTCAACACCTACATGATTGATTTACACCTGGATGGGATTTTATTTTTCAAGAATTCTTCTTCTTCACTTTTCTTTCTTTATTTTCCAAGACAATACCATGGTTGCATGTCACCTCGCTGCATCAGGCTGTAGTTGTAGCAGAAGCCGTTCTTTCTGGCTCTTCCCTCCGTGCAGTTTTCACTTGATTTGTGCTGGGAGACATTTCCATAAAGTCAGTCCTCGTTATCTTGACTCAGGTCTGCTTTCTACATCCCGACCTTGTTTGAATTGCTCCATAAATTTGTTCAAACATTTGTCAGTGGCAGTGATCTTATTTCCAACAGTCGGTGGCAGCATCGGTGCCTCCTGGAACAGATGAAGGTCTGATAGGGTTCTGCTGGGACGTCTGCTGCTTATTTGTGTTGCTGCTCTTGTTCTGCAGGAAGAAAGAAACACTGAGATTTTTCTTGTGGTAAAACATGAATACAATAAATGACAAAAAAAGTTAGAAAGCTGAGTGAGAAGCAAAACACATGTGAAGGGCTGTATATACAGTGTATATATATATATATATATATATATATATACACACACACAGTTTAACACAGCAGTTGTTTTCCAATTATATTTTGAATCCCGACTCTCCCTTCTTATATTGGTCTCATTATTTTCAAAGGTCACCTGCAGGTGAAATCCTCAAGTGTTCAGATGAAGGACCACAGTCACAGTCTTTGTATTTGTATTGTATATTACTTTATTATTCATGGCAGTAATGTTCTATTGCCCTGCAGCAATACATCAGGTTGCTAACACAGATTACAGCATTATTACCCAAGATTATACAGTAATGTAATAGAGGCAATAGCTGTAGCCTCTATTACATTACTGTAAAATCATTATAAGAAGATTTATAAAAAGCTCTGACGTCTAACTGTAAGCTCCTTCAAAACGTTTTGAAAGTCTTGGTTTGTTGTCATACTAAAATGAAGTATGTTTTCTGCCTCTTTGAGACATATTATGAATTTATATAGAAGTATAGACACATTTAAAAAAATACAATTAACCCAAATGTGTAACTTGCTGTTGTACTTGAACCTCCAGTTGTTGAGAATTATACAAGAAATACACTCCGTGTTGTACTTGAACCTCCAGTTGAGAATTATACAAGAAATACACTCCAAAAACAGACAGAAGTTCAATACTTGATCAAATACTTGTTGCTTTTAAAGTTATTTAACCGATTTATGTACTTGAGGGGCTTTTTATGATGGGCCTACGCACGTGACGTCTCTGTAGTACACATTACCATTCGTAAATACGTATTTAAATAATGAATCTGCCAAAGAACAAATGTGTATCTAAATTTCTTACCGTTTACTATTTGAAGAGCCAAATGTTTATTGCTGTTTAATCTTTATTCATCAACAGTTAATTTATTTGTGTGAACTCGCTTATATACTGTATATATCACTCGTCACAGTACCTGCACGTTCATATATTGTCCACTAGATGGCCCCAAAGGCACATAACTGAAGTCGCACCTTCCCTGCGTTTTGATGAAGACGTCATACGACATGTCATGAAAAGGAAGAGCGAAGGACTCTTTGTGGCCTTCAGCTCAACAAAAGTGAAGTTGAGCTAACAACCATCCTGTTAGCATGATAAAACATCTGACGTCATCTCCGCTGCAGGGGTCTCTGCCTTCAACCCCACTCACTACCTTCCCTCTCTTATCTGAAAGCCCTGCATATCAACTGTTCAAATTTTGCATGAAAGACTCATCCTCGCTGTAGCATTCAAAAAGGAACCGCTGCTAATTTTAGCTACGGATTTAACCGGAAATTCCACCTTTGACAGAGGCCTATGAATGAAATAAACCCTGAGTACTGGCTTCAATGTGGCCTATATGTTTTAATGACGTTCAGTTTTATTATTTATAGACCACACCCAATAATTAATAAATAAATTGTAATTGTAGTTCTGTAACAGCTAGCCTTGTTTTGACAAATAATGCTTTAAAAAAAAAGCATTTATCTCTTCATACTTTCTGAAATTGAAATGTTTGACATATTCAGTGCCTAGCTGTCACTAAGGTTACAGTTGGGCACTGAACTGATTTAGTCCAACCCATTCACATGCAGATTAACTCTAAATTTGGGGTTGTCTATGTTAGAAAGACCTAATGTCCTTCCTGTATTCAATCCAGTTGGTTTTGCTCTTCCTTGCAGTAAAACAAGACTTTTGTCCAGAAGGTCACTTCCTAATTACTGCATTTTTACAGCTACTAATGCTGACTGACCTTTAGGTTTAAGAAACATTTAAATACTAATGGGGAAAAAATGCATTGCTGTTGATGAGGAGGGAAAGGAGAAAAACAATAACAGCCAGTGGGGTAAAGATGGCCAACATGTCTAACACATGGGTGGCCTCGGAAATAACTGTGCTAACCTTTCACAGACTCAGGGGGGCTGATGGGTAATGGAAGAGGACTGAGGAAGTGTGTGTGTGTGTGGATGGAGGAAATGCAGTATGTCCGGCTAATTTGCTGTGCTGGAGCAGAGCTTTAAAAGTGAATGTAGAGGTTTGAGGAGAGCAGGGAAACAAAAACAGGATGGCTCTCCGGCTGATAAAGAACGTTCTGGAGCAGGGAGGTGTTCTCTGCAGCAGGTTATCTCAGTGAGAGGGAGGGGAGAAGAAATGTGGCGTGTTTAATGGCACTTTGGTATAAGAAGTGCTCAATGATCCATCCAGACTTGTAGTGTCGGGACTGTTATAATGAATTTGATGTTTTTACTGTTTAACTTTGGACCATTTTTCTGTTTATTACAGTCACAAGAGCGAGACGAGTTCTAAAACAGATGTTATAATTTAAATATATTTAAATAACTGAAACATTGACCTTAAATAGAAACCTGTGAAAACATTGGTGCCAATTGACAGGTTTTGATACTGCTCCATTTGTTGTTTGTTTGTTGTTTTTTTTCTTTGTTTTTTTCCCCCCAAAAAATACTCAGATTTTAATGAAACTTAAGTTTCATTAACAACCAGATTTGTCAGATTTTAGGTTACATTTTTTATAATTTTCTGACTCACCCTCGTATGTCAATGGCCCTGTCCAATAGCGACTCCACTGGTTGAGAGAAGAACTTCAGAAAAACTAGGAAAGGCCTTTACTGATACCTAACTATTGGTAATGATTGGTAACTAATTTGGTACTAGTTTACCTTCCCTTAGATCTAATGTGATAATCCCATGTTGTTTTGTTTTTAGTGTATAAACCAAAGTGATGCGTGTGTTATTTTTTTTATTGTAAACTGCACACCAGACAAACTGACCGTCTACCGTTGTTTATTTCTCCTCCTCCAGCTGTACAGTCGCTGAACAGCCTGAATGACCAGATTGCAAACTTCATGGTGACTGCACCCAAATCCCCAGAGGTAGAGGAGGAGCCCATCTTCCCTCCCCTGGAGAAGGAGAATCTGCAGAAGTCTATGACGCTGATGAGGCACCTCCTGGTGGACGCTCAGGTAGATGAATCTGTTTCGAGTTTGACCTCATCAGCAAGACACGTAAATAAACAGAAATGACACGATGTTAAATATGAGGCGGTAGTACCAGTAGTAGTACCAGTAGTAGTACCAGCTTTATTCAAAATGAAACTTCTGCGAGTGGATGAACTGTGGTGGGTGGTCTGCCTGCTCTGGTGGAGGTGGGGAAGTCCCAATCTTTCCTTAGTCCACGACTTCACTAATAAGGAAGACGCTGCTGGTTGTTAGTCTGTGGAATAGGTGTTATGAGGCAAAGTCTACAATGGTGGAAACCAACTTGTGGCTCGCGGGCCAAAACTGGCCTAACCGTCCAATCCAGCCAACCAATCAACACCTGCACACACTGGAAGAACATGTAAACTCCTGGACTAGCAGTTACAACGTGGACTTGAACCAGCAACCTCCTTGCTGTAAGGCACTGTGTTGCAGCTCATGGTTGTTTTGTTCAGTGAGAGTGTTGTTAGAAACCACTACTACAGTACAAAGAGTAGGACAGAAATCCAACTTTAATTTATTCACAAGTGGGGAATTGGTTTTTCGTGCAGATAAGTGTTTCCTGCGACCGAGTGGAGAGGTGAGAAAATGTCACAGACATTGAATTTGACCTTTCAAAGAGGACTGAAATAACTTGACCTTTAACATCCACTCATTATCTTACAGCTGCTTCAAGTAAAGTGACTGTACTGTTGTACTTTTACCTGATATTTTACTCCACCTGGTGGTTATTTCACCACTTACGTTACTCTTTAAGTAAGAGTTTTCTGGAGAGACTTTTGATTCTCTCTGTCCAGTTTGATGCATTTCTCCTAGTCGTGGGATGGAGTTTGATCCTTCTGGCTCTGAGTTTTTGTCCAACCTCCGGCTGCTGCACCTTTGCTCTGGAAGAAAAGAGAAACAGCTTAGAAACAACAGTCATGTTTTCACTCTTTTACACTGAGTTAAGACCCAGACAAATACAGTAACCCCACCCTCTGTGTCCACATCCGTCAGTCACAGAGAGAAATAGACAAAATGAAACTGTACTGTTTCATAGAATTGAAGGCGTACAAAACAAATCAATATATAAAAAAACAAATTATAATAAATGATTTTTTTCACAAAAGGCCAAACTAATGTTGAGCCTTTTATAATATGTATTGAGCAGAGAGCAGATCAATACTGTGAGCATTGCAGGGAATCAATACTGTGTTCAATCTTAGTTCCCTCTTAAACTTTAGTGGATTTGTCAGAGACCTGGACCCAGTTGTGCTTCAATGTTGCTTGAAAAATAGATACATGGTAATTTTCACTTTATCGATCAATACTTTTTATGAAGTCTAACGATGTTTTCATGCAGCTTTGCTTCCAAACTGATAAATGTTGCTTCTGGCAACCAGCTGTTTTCACTCAGTAGCTTGACTGCAGAGAGGAAAGGTCAGCGACAGGCTGCTGGAATCACACAGAGCTATTTGTTTATGGTGCTTTTAGAAATGAGGTTTTACTCACACTTTTGTCAGACCATTTAAAATGTTGTGATAATTTGGAGAAGTTCAGTTTGAAATGAGATGAATATCCTGCCCACACACAGAGAACGACAAGGTTTTAGTACAGGTTGGACTAACATGTGGCCCATAGTCCAGATGCACAGTCTGGGCCTCTGACGAACTGGGCGACCAGTTTTTTTGTGTATATGAATCATAGGGGTTAAGTAGGAAATACTAATCAATGCAATGTCAATAGAACACAAATAAAGTAAATATTGAAAATAAAATTCATATACTGCTGCAATAGCCCTGTGACTCTCAGAGGGACCTGCCCCTTATCTTTGGAATCACTGACTAAATGCAAGTAATTGTCAGCAAAGTTGTTGTATTTTTCTGTACCTCACACTCTGGTTCCTCCAAACATTCTCATCAGTGATGACTTTGTGTTTTAAGAGTTTTTTTTTTACCTAGATGTAACACCATTAGACCCTGTCACTGCATCTTAGAAACTCTGAAGGTTAAACTGGACAGCATAGGATTCCGAAGAATAATTAAAGATGTGCAGTTTTGTGCCGTAGTACTCATTAAAATTCTATCCTCCAAGATAATATTTCATTCAGTTGGATAAGTTTGAATGCCAGTTCTAAAAGTTTGTAGACTAATATTCTGGCAAAAAGAAACCAAACTCTTGTGATGTTAATGAAGGAGAACGCAGCCTGTAGATACTGGAAGAAGATGCTGTTGATCCACAATGACTGATGGTCCTGTCTGGGTCACTCTGTCTGTCCCTCTGCAACCTGGGCCTCAGCTGGGCCTCCAGGGAACGGTTTTACCCACATGTAATCCATCACGCTGGTCCCATCTGCCCTCTCAGACCTTCCTCTGTCTCCACCACTGCTGCCTATTAGGCCCTGCTCCAAGGAGGGCCATCCAGAGAAACCTGCTGACAAATTACAATGATAAAGTGCAGTGAAAATGATGTCATTTGTGTCAAACCGGGTTTTGGTTGCCTGTGTTCAAAACAAATTTCTAGTCAGGAATAAAAAGGCTTTTCTTAGATGGAGATCAAAAGTAATATATTTGTGATTCAATGCTAAACAACATGTTTGTGGAATATCAATAAGGAGACGTATTTGAAAGTTGAATTGGTGCCAAAAATACATTTTGGTGCAAAACAGGTGATGCAGCTAAATGGCTGCATCATTTTTCTGCATTATTTCAGGATTTATTTTAATGCAGATATTTGATGACGACTGACCCTCGGAGCTGAACACAGTGTGAGGAAAGACTGAGTGTCCTTTAGGCCCCTGGGATAATGGGAGATACATGTGTCCTCTGAACAAACAGGCTGAAGGTCAGGGTTTGGAAACAGAAGTGGTCACAATAGATCAGACTGTACTGAATGGTTGTAACCCTGTGTGGTTTTTACTGCATACAATACTAGGATGTACTGTCAATGGTTAACTGTGAACTTCTGTAAACGGAACTGAATTTGTAAATGAACCAAAGAGTTAAAAAAGGTCTTCATCCAAATGGACAGCTTTATCTATTTTTAATATATATATATATATATATATGTGCTTCCTGCTGTTGCTTAAAGGTCGATTTCATTAATTTAAAAAATGTCCTCAGCTGAAGCCTGATGCAGTATTTTATACTCGGTGAATACCAGTATGATGGATGGTGTTGGTTGGTGGCCGGCTCCTCATTGTTCTCCTCATGTAAAGATCACTTTTTTCCCTCCTGCTAACAACACGCCGTCCATGTAATGATGCTGCATTAGCAGGTCACCACCACCATGTGCGTTTGTGTGAGCACGGAAACTGACAGGTTACCATAGAAACAACCCATTAGCACATTAGCTTACCATTATTAAAAGAATCTACAGTCGGAGGGGTGAAAGAGTTTGTTTGTGCATCAACACCTCGTGTTTTTTTCACTTTTTTTTCCCCCTCACCTTCTGTTGCCCTGAAAACTCAGCTACTGCTCCCAGGACCAGAGGCTGTGATCTCAGATTTACACTGGTCTGTCTCTGCCTCAGACACAGACGTGTGTTTTGCTTGTAGATTAGCACAGATCAAAGCATAACCTTTGATCCTACTGCCACTGAAAAGGCGTTTGTTTCATGTCATTGTCCAAAATGTACACCAACAAATTCAAATTTATTAGTAAAGTACATTTAGAGTGTAGTTGTAAAACACATCCAATAAATAAAATGAGTCATATTGGACATGCACATCAATCACATATAAGCTGAAAAGCAAAAAATGTCATGTAATATCACCAAAATGTCAACTCGTGGCATCAACGATCGAAATCAAGTTATTTGACATTTCAAAAGAATAATGAAAAAAAGGGTCGCTTCTCCTTCCAGCTCAGTGTGAGATCCTTTTTACGGTAATTCACTCATATTCCATGTTTAGATTAAATCCAGATCAGATGTTCTTGTCATGGTGAGATAAAATGTGAATTAATTAATCATGTCTGAGAAAAGGAAACGTACTGAAAAGTAGTGATCCGAAAAAGAAACCCTGTGGTACACCACAGACGGAAAACTTCAAATTCATTACCCTTCGTTTTCTCACATCATTTACAGAAATGTCCTTACAGTCCGTTCGTAGTGACTTGGACTGGTGTGTTTTGTCCAAGGATTGGAGGATCATGGCATCAAACAGCCAACCTTCTGGTTAGAGGACGAACCGTTCTACCTCCAGGGCACCCCCCTCTGCCCCCACAAACACACACATGTGCAGTTTATGTATCCTAAAATAAACTTTGTCTTTGTACAGTGAGGTGCAGCCTGGACACAGCAGCCTACACTAAGGTCATAGGTATTTGAAGGTAAATCGCACTAATGACAGAAGTTTTTATCAGCGTTCACAGCAAAACCAACTGATCCAAATTAATTGTCCATTTTCCTTGAGTCCTTTTGAATAAATCAATAAAGAAGTGTGGAGTACGCAGCTCTGAGGTGTTTAGGTTTTCAATAATTACTTCTCTGTGGCTTATTTTAAAAAATAATTAAGATTTTCATCGTCTCGGTGTCATCATTATTCAGTACTGGGACATAAATTGAGGCAATTTCTCCGGGTGCAAAAATAATTTAAGGGAATTTATCTGTGTGCTGCAGCTGTAGCAGCAGGAGCGGCGTTTAGATAAGAACACACAGTGCGCTTAGTTTGGGTTTTAATTGTTCTGTATTAATTCCTCTTTATTTTTCATTACTGTTTCAGTAATGGAAGTACTGGAAAACTTGGTTTGAAAGAAGCAGTACTACTCTTATCGTCCTGTAAGGTACTTTCTACAAGTGATAATTAGCAGTTTCCTGTTATGTAGAGCAGTGTTTCCCAAACTTTTTTTCTGGGGACCCATATTTTAAAAGTCACAACCCTTCACGACCCAAGTCAATAGACATTGTTTGTAAAATCCTGGGAAACATGATGCGAGAAGACCCCCCCAAAAAATCTCTTGTGACCCACTTGAGGGTTGCGACCCATTCTTTTAGAAACAATGATG